AGAGATGAGAAGTTCAGTCACAGCTACAAAACCAGCATATCACCCAAAGCAGATCTCTTTGAAAATATGCAAGCAACCTTTTGAACCCTTTTGTGACGTTATTTTTATTTATTTTTCAATTGTTACAACCTTACCATCTAGAGACTTTTGTTCTTTTTAAAGAAGGCCTTCTTTGAGTCTGTACAATGTTACTAAAACTTCTGTTTCTTTTTCTCCCCCACCCTTCTCCTCTCCTGCTTTCTCTCCAAATCTGCTGGTGTTTGTAACTCCTTTAATGTGGGTGTGGTCCTCTCCATCAGCCATGTGGGTAGTTGAACCAAACTCACCTACCTGCCTCTCTGCCGCCTTGCCCACCAGGAGACACTCCCAGGAATCCAGGTTGGTTGTGGGGTGTGGGGTCCAGGGGATTATAAAGTCAAGCCTTAATCAGAGCCTCTTCATTTATTTCATTATCCCACGAGCTCTCTGGGGTCCCAGCCCCAGGAGTTGACCTTGACTTCCTGGCCCCTGGTTCTCAGTGCCACTTCTGCTGAACTGCAGTCCATGCGGCGGGCCTCATGTCTTCTCACCATTAACATGTACCCCTTGGTGGTGCAGTGATCAAGAGCTCAGTGGCTAACCAAAAAGTTGGCCTGTTCGAATCCACCGGTCGCTCCTTGGAAACCCTATGGGGCATTTCTACTCTGTCCTATAGGGTTGCTATGAGTCAGAATCGACTTAATGGCAACGGGTTTGGTTTCGGTTTATGCCCATCCCTTCAGGGTCCTACTACCCGCTTTTAGCTTGAATGATTCTAAGGCATTAGTAGTGATTTCAGCTTCAAGATTAGGCTGGTGGCAGAAATGTTTATTTAGGCATAGTGTTCCTCATCTCTCAAATCACAAAGGAGAATGGTGGTCTAGCCCACCTTCAGGGACTCGTAGGCCCGGCCCTGCCTTCGATGATGCTCGTCAGTGACTTGAGCACCTCCTTCTCTCAACTGCAACAGCTATCCCACCAGGGCAGCCAGAGACGCTGCCTCAGGCTAACCCCCACCCCTTGTCTGCACTGCTCCTCTCTGGGCACCAGCGTCGCAGTAAAATGGGAGCATCCTAAAGAAAAACGATTCTTACAAAAGTTAAGGGTGATGGTTGAATAATATGATGAACAGAAGTTAATGTCACTGAGCTGTACATGTGACGAATGTGGAAATGGCAATGTTTTTTATATATATGCTTACCACAATACAAATAAATAAATAATTTTTAAGAGGTTAACATCTGACAAAAGCAAGTTGTACTGCGTGAGGAAAGAATGGCATCCAGGCATCCAGGACAGAGGACAGACTCCAGTCAGGTTAATCTAGGCTTGGGTCACAAATTAAGCTACTTAATTAGTGTGTACCCGTGAGGGCATTCCAAACCTCTCAGCCTCAGTTGTCTTATTAATGTGGTCGCTGTTAGTTGCCACTGAGTCAATTCTGACTCACGGCGACCCTGTGTGTGTAGAGTAGAACTGCTCCATAGGATTTTCAAGGCTGTGACCTTTGGAAAGCAGATCACCAGGCCTGTCTGCCAAGGTGCCTCTGGGTGTGTTCAAACCACCAACCTTTCAATTAGTAGCTGAGTGCTTAACTGTGCCACCAGGACTTCCTTTTCTTCTGACTATAATAGGCTAACATCATACCTACCCTACTGTGATACTGTAAGACTTCGTAGTGATAAATGTAAAGGGACTTTCACAGTGACTAAGATAGAGTAAGTGTTTAATACACTGTACCAATTACTATTAACTGAGATTATTTACCTTCAGTGACTACAACATGGAAGCTTGTAAATAGTATTGGTTCATTTAACAGATGAGAAAACTGAGGCTTGGGGAAATTAAGTAACTTTCCCAAGGTCAAACTAGTGAAACTCACAGAACTTGACCTAATTCAAGTCTTCTGACTTCCAGCACACGGTAATATTTTTATTATACCATATGCATGGAAGTTTTACAAAAAATATGACATATTAACTACTAGTCTTCTCATGGGGGCATACTTGTTGAATATATAGACGTTCAACATTGCTTCATTCATTCTACTGGTTTCAAATAATGCAATTATCATTTACATGAGTTTTGTCTGGAAGAAAAACCAAAACCATATGGACATTCCACTCATGGTTTATGAGGATCGTTTCTGTCTGTCTGAGACTGTCGCTAACACTTGTTTCTCTGAACTGCAGACTCACAGAGAAAAGCATAGAGTTAGAATTAAAAGGTCATCTTTGTGATTATCTGACCGAATTATACAAAAATCACTAAGACTTCTAGAGTGGTGCAGTTCATGGACCTTTCCCACATTTACTAAGCACTGGTTAAGTGGCTGACGTTGTGCTAGGTATCTATGGGGTTCAATCATGAATCAGATATTCTTTTTCACCTCAAGAATGAAAAAACAAATTTGGAAGGAAAACCTGGCTATGTTTAATTCCACCTCAGCTACATTGCAAAACCCCTCTTCTTTCGATATGCAATACAGACATGCCTTAAAATGGAGGTTGGCAAATACTACCATTGAGAGATAAAGATACTTTTACTGAATTGTGATTTCTACAGACAGTGTCTCCAAGACCAAAAAAAAAAAAAAAAAAGTCCAATTCTTTGTTACTTGTGTATGTAGCTTGCTAGATAACCTATGAAACCCTCGGCAGCAGAAAAGCCCTGCTCTAAACCCTAATACAATCACATTTTAAAGTGCTTTTCTTCAAATGCAATGAAAATTAAAATAATAAATAAAGCTAAGAGCAAAAATAACTCACGACATGGTTATACAATTCTAAAACTCCAGAAGAAGAAAATCTGGGGCAAGAAAATACATCTGGGAAATGTGTTATCCAGGACTCCCCAAATCAGCTCCTTGCAGGGCAATACTTGGAATGAAAACAAGAGAGCGGCAGACTCAGACAGACGCTGAATCTAAAGGGCCCCAAATTCATCAGACACTGCCTGGTGTAGCCTGGTTTACCAATTATTAAAGAGAAGACAAAAATCCAGACTCTTTTTTTTTTTGGCTTCATTTACCCAGATTTCCAGTGTTGACAACTAATTAAAAATATTTTAATGTTGGCCAGGCCAGTTTATGGGTCCCAGTTTGTGAGTTCCATTTATATTCTCATTGCCAAAAGCCCTTGATGTAAAACTACCTCTATAGTAAGTTTACTCTCTTTTTATTTATGATATGTTGACATTTGCATCTATACCTTTTAAAGTGATAAAATGTATTCATGACAAGGGAATGAAGTTAGTTGAACTACGAGAGAATACAGTTGTAAAAATAGGAACTCCAGGTACCTTTAGAGGGGCCATTGATTAAATTCCGATATGCCTGCCAGAATGTTTGGTGGCAGGAATCAATGGGCAAGGCTAAATCTCCCCACCCTTTTTAACGATTAGTCTTCAACCCCATTCCAACTTACTGAGTGTTGTTGACTCTTCTTGGAAAGCTTCCTATGGGCTTTGGATATTTAGAAATTACTCTAACGTACCTACAAAGAGCTCAATAGAATTCTTGAGTCTATTAAGGCAGTTTAAGAAAAATAAATTCATTAGCATCGGCCTCCCTTACCCATCAAAAGATACTTCTTTGAAGAAGACCTTGATTTATGATGGGATGATGGTGAAGTTTTAAACTGTGCCGGAAACTCCATCCAGTTGCCTTCAAGAGCTTCTGCTTCACTGATCTCAGTAAAGTCTCACTATCCAATATTGGGTGAAGCACTCAATAAGATTGTCCAAGTTTAATTTTATTCCCAGTTGTCCACATAGACCACTATGAAATCCTTCAACAGCCTCATTCCCCAGAGATACTATGGAAGCAAGATACTCATAGACAGCTATCTGTGATAAAGGAGTCCTCTCAAGCAGTATTAATGCTTTTGCCATGGGAACTTGCCCTTGGTTTAAGGCAAGATTTGTGGCTTTGTTGGTTTTGCCATTTCCACCAGTCACATCAGTCTACTTTCGCTGTGGCAACTGAATTATGCGTTACCTTTGTTGGGGCCGGGAGCCCTGGTTGCGTAGAGGTTAGGAGCTACAGTGAGCTACAGCTGCTAACCAAAAGGTCAGTTCGAACCCACCAGCAGCTCCTTGGAAACCCTATGGAGCAGTTCTACTCTGTCCTATAAGGTCGCTATGAGTTGGAATCGACTCAACAGCAATGGGTTTGGTTTTTTTGGTGGGACCTACGAGAACTCATCACGAAAGCAGTAACCTGTTGGTTAAGATTATAAATTTTATTTGATTTGAAAGGATAAAGTTATTTAACATTCAGGAAAATTCCTTAGAACTGTAATTGTACTAGACTTTTGCATTTCCAAATGTGTCTGTAAGCACTAGATTTCCAATACAAAGATCTTGATATCACACCTTTAAAAATAAAGACCATTTTTCTGATCCCAAAATAATACATGCTCAATGTAGAAAATTGAGAAAATATAGACACGAAGTAGAAATTAATATCACAAATAATCCCATTACTCAGAGGTAATTGCTGTTGACATTTTTATATATTATTTGTGCATTGTAAATTATGTATGTATTTATGTTTTGATTAATTCATTGATTCAGCAAACATTTACTCAGCTCCTACTATATGCCAAGCATTATTCTTGGATACATCATGAAAAAGCCAACAAAGATTCCTGCATTCATGGAGCTTATAACTAGGGGTGGAGGTGGGTGTTAGTCATTGACGCATAGTAAATAACAAACTCAGTAAACAAATACAATCTTAGCAGGTTATACTGGATCCCTGGTGGCACAGTGGTTAAGCATTCAGCTGCTAACCAAAAGGTCGGCAGTTCAAATCCAACAGCAGCTACTTGGAAACTCTATGGGGAAGTTCTACCGTGTCCTATAGGGTTGCTATGAGTCGGAATTGACTCGAAGGCAATGGGTAACAGGGTATGTTACAGTATCTTGGAAAATGATACTGAGAGCAGGTTCGAGAGATTGGGAGGCAGGGGTAGGGAGGCATGGATAGCATGGTAAATAGCACAGCCAGGGGAGACTTCAGTGAGAAGAGAGCATCTGAAGGAGACCTGAAGGAGGTGATGAAGTGAGGTGTGCAGCTCTTCCATAAGAGGATCCTACGCAGAGGGAACAGGTGAAGACCCTAAGGCAGCGTGTACCTGGCCAGTCAAGGAATAGCAAGGAGGCCAGTGTGGACGGAGTAGAGTGAGAGAAGGCGAGTGCAGAAGAGACAAGATCAGAGATGTAGCAGGAGTCCAAGCACGTAGGGCCCTGTAGTACCTCGACTGAAAGATTTTATGCACAGAAATGACCTGATCAATCTTATATGTTCAAAGGATGCCACCTTTGTCAGTGGTAATGGAGTTTGGCAATGTGTATCTGACTGAGTTCATTTAACATTGGAACCTTTCCTCACGTCCTGTTTTTGGAGACGCGAAGCATCTTAGTGTCTGCACACCAGTTCCATCAATGCACCTATTGGTGAATATATTGTTTAATTCCAAGTTGTTTCCTTATTTTTAACAATATTGAATTGAACATCTGGATACATAAGTCTCTCCTCTAGAAGAGATACCTGTCAAGACATTGCTGGGTAACAGGTATGAATGAGTCTTGAAAAGTATGGCCAGATTGCTTTTCAGAAAAGCCATAAAATCTATACTCCTAGAAGCAACATGTAAAATATTACATACGATTTTGATCAAAAAAACAACCATCTATCAGTTTTCCTAAGTTAAAAGATGTACAAAATTCACTCATTCACTGATGCATTCAACAAAATTTATTAAAATCTACACTCTGCACAAAAATCACTAGACAAATTAGAATGACTCATACCCACATTCTTCACACGCACCTACACTTCTTTTGTTTCCTCTGTTACCTTCACATCATCCTACCATTTTCATAGAACTGCCAAAACCTGTAAATGTAAATGGCCAACATTCCTGATTGAGGTCAGGCCCCCATCTCTTTCTTCCCTCCAGTAACATTTCCTGAATTCAGCACCAAGATGTGGGCTTATGGTAACTGAAGCAGAGATTCCGTGGAACTCACTATCACTTGGCAGAAAGGGTTTGCCCAGCAAATTGAGACAGCGAACAGAAACAAGAGTAAACATATAAAAACTACCTTAGACCAGTCTCATGTATTTATTAAAGTAGCCTTATTAAATTTTTGTCAATTAAAGTAGCATCTTAGCAATTCCACTACTTTCCTTTAGAAATACTTTTTAATTCAGATTTTCACTAATATCAGACTGTTTTTTGTAAGCTTTGGGGCTTTGCTTCAATTATCTGGATATTTTCCTGCATTAATAAATAAAAGATGTTGTGCCTGAACAGGCCACATTTTTGTACAGTTTTAGACTAACTATGGCTGTCTTGAGGTTTAAAAAAAGTCTTTGTTGTTCTTCATTTACAACCTCATGATGATCAGGGGCAGATTATCCAACAAGCAAGGCAAGCATGGGCTTACTTGTGCTTACTTACTAATCTGTAGTGAACAATTTCACATTTTTTCATCACATCAAAGATTCTGCTTTGAGGCATGGCTGGCCTCTGTCTCTCTCCCAACCCCACAGTGCTTTCCTACAGAATCAAAGCCTCTTTTCACATTTACAATCCCTGACAAGGGCAAATGACTCAGTAAGCACAGGTAAGCACAGTTTACCTGTGCTTACTTATTAATCGGTAGTGAACATTTTCACACGGGTTCACTTTAATGTGGTGTGGTGAAACCTATATGAAATTGTTCACTACCGATCAGTGAGTAAACACAAGTAAGCCCGTGCTTACCTTGCCTATTGGATAATTTACCCCTGATGATGATAGTCAAAAGAGTCAGCGTAAGTACGGGGATCTTTCTTGTGTGTACTTTGGAAACCCAGGACTGAGAACCAAAAGGATAAATGTCGCACTAATAAATATTTGTATTTGTTGAAAATGGCTGTATATCATATATTTAATTTAATCTCAGAAAAATTCACAATGAAACCATTAAGAGTAAATAAATTTACAAAGCTTAATGTGATTTCATTTCTTCATGTAACATTGAGTGCCTACGCTGTGCCAAGAACTATGTGACTGTTTTACATAAAGTATCCCATTTAACTATCACAACAGTCCCATCACAAAGCTTCATCAGCATCTGCATTTTACAGATGAGAAAATGAAGGTTTAGAGAGGCTTGAATAACTTGTCCAATTTCATTCAACCATAAGGTGTGGAGCCAAAACTTGAGCCTAGATTTCTCAAATGCCAAGGCACTGGGAGTTGGCTACATTTGAACTCATTTGGATGTCATGGTCCTGAAGCAAAGAGTTATAAGAGACATCAGCAGTCACAGTGGAATATAACACATGTCATGGATTGAATTATGTCCCCCCAAAAATGTGTGCTTCAATTTGGCTAGGCCATGATTCCTAGTATTGTGTGGTTGTCCTCCATTTTGTGGTTGTAATTTTGTGTTAAAGAGGATTAGGGTGGGATTGTAACACGCTTACTAAGGTCACATCCCTGATCCAGTGTAAAAGGAGTTTCCTTGGCATGTGGCCTGCACCACCTTTTATCTTACAAGAGGTAAAAGGGAAGCAAGCAGAGAGTTGGGGACCTCATACCACCAAGAAATCAGTGCTGGGAGCAGAGCGCGTCCTTTGGTCCTGAGGTTCCTGCGCAGAGAAGCTCCTAGTCCAGGGGAAGATTGACCACAAGGACCTTCCTCCAGAGCTGACAGAGAAAGCCTTCCTCTGGAGATGATGCCTAAAATTTGGACTTCTAGCCTACTAGCCTGTGAGAAAATAAATTTCTCTTTGTTATAGCAGCACTAGATGAATAAGACAACACGGTATATAGTGTGATGAACAGCAGGTCAACTCTCAAGTCTGTTATTTATCAGCTCTATAACCTTGAGTTATATGCTAAGCCTCCCTAATCCTCAATATCCTCATCTATAATATGGAAATAACTACGTACACCATTTAGTAGAGTGCTAAGCACCTGCTATATATTCAGTGGTTGCCATTTTTGTTAGCAGTAATACAGAGAAGATTGCATAACAGACTTACGTGGGGCTGCTCTTTCCCTTGCTCAGCATGAGGTGGGGCAGGCCTCCCTGGGGGTAGAAGAAATAGTTGAGAGTTGGGATGGTTACTGTAACATACATCCTGTATTTATCTGAACTAAAGTCTCTATGCAGGGACATACATAATGTGTTCTGATCATCCAAACAACTATACACCTAATTTTTTTTTTTAAAGTAAATAATGTACTCCAGGGATAAATCTTTCTGTAGTAAGTATCCAGTGGTATTCACGTACAAATGCATATTCATGCCAAATTAACTTAGCAACAATGATGTACACTCTCTGCCTTACATTAAAATAATGTCTTGCACGCAGCCCTTACAGGGCATGTATTTGCTAAAACTTCTCCACAGTCCTTCGTAACAAAAGGAAAACCAAAGGCTAACTAAGCCATCACACTCTCTTGCTTGATCCCTTTTTTGAACAAGGGGTTATATTTTCGAAATCACTTTTTGGCTCTTGGTGAAGCCTGAGACTGTGAAACATCTTTTTAATGTGCAAAGCTAATGAACCCCTGATCGCTGAGACTATTACCTGCTTTTACCACCTTACTGAGAGATAATGTATGAATTTGCAAAGCACAGCATCTGCCATACAGACGATCGTTCAATAAATATTATTTTATATTATGTATATTACCACCAATAACACTCCATTTACAGTACAGCCCTTTCCTTATATTAAGAAGCGTACTATTCAATTGCCTTTTATATTGCAATTCAGTTATTTTTGCATGGCATCTATTTATGATGAGGTTTCATGTTTCAGTAGACATAGCTGATAGATTTCAGAGCTGCCTCGAAGAAAAAGTCTGACTTGAACACTGCTCAATATAATTTTTTCAGAATAAACTATTTCAGCACAGCTAGTACTGGAAATAGGCAATTTGCCAACCATTGGTGTTTACAAATTATATCCCAAATTAAGTAACAATGCTATAATCATATCTTCTATTCTTTGGGAGTTTTTTTTTGGTTTTGTTTTTAGATAATTGAGATTGAATTAGAGAGTAGCTAATTTGATGCCATTCTTTCTGCTAAGAATGAGTCATTTATGCATAATAGTGAATGACCTATTTACATTCTCTGTATTGTCATTTAACACTATCTCATAACAGTCTGCCAACAGTTCCCACACTTAGGTCTGCAACAGCATTTTCATAGATCTTAGGGAAAAAATGATAGTGAAATTTTGCCATGTATCTTTTCTTAAAAATGAGTAGCCTTCATTCTTATATATCATAATTGTTGTTACATTGTTACAATACCTTGTCTTTTAAGAACGAAGGTGAGAGCCGAGGTAGTGAGGCTTTTTTGTTGTGTTTTCTTTTTTTAATATCTTTATATTGGAAAATAAAAGGTTGGCCACTTTAGAATGTTATTGATGTTGCTCTTGTTATTGTTTTCATACTGGCCCAGGAAATCTGCAAGTCCAGAATTCTCCACTCTATAGTTACTGGACAGCCTTTAAACATTAAAACAGAAGGATAGTTTTTAATTTTTTTTTTTAATGTTTGCATAGTTGTTTCTTGTCTTACATTTACTCAAATCCTATGGAATTAACGAGGACTTTACAGGGCTTTCAGAGCGCTGCTGGCACAGTGGTTAAGAGCTCCACTGTTAACCAGAAAGGTCAACAGTTCAAATCCACCAGCTGCTCCTTGGAAACTCTATAGGGCAGTTCTGCTCTGTCCTGCAGGGTTGTTATGAGTCGGAATCAACTCGACCATAACGGGTTCAACGAGTTGCAGCTCTTTCAGCCCATGAAGGGCTGGGGATGTATTCGGTGGATGGCATGATAGGAAAATCATGGTCTGATGTCTGCAACCTACAAAAGGAAAGTATTAATATGAATGGAAAAAAACAAAAGAAAACAAAACTATGGAAACTCCCTACCTAGGAGAAGAAACCAGAGAGGAGAGCGCACAGATTGGTCAGAAGATGAAGGAGGCAGAAGCTAACACTCCACAGAATTGTAACTACAACTGTGAGAGGTTAAGAGGA